GTTTCAGAGTCCTCAAAAATTATCTTCCTTGATTGGAGTCCTCCCAGCCAATAGAGGGCTTCACACAAACACAGTTCCTTGGGTTTTGAATTATTTGGCAAGAGTTTTCTTCCGACAAGGGACTGGGGTGATTCATTCACTTACCACACCTTGCCTGAACATTCACTTGGGGCTGCCGGTTTTGAAGGCTATTGTTCTCCAGCCTGTCACAGACGCCTTGAAGACCTGCGCCTCAGCTGGTTCTAAGGAGTCAGTTTGTTCGGCTCCCTGCCAGGTTTCCAACTTATGAAATGTGCTGGAGATTAACACCTCTCCTGCTATTTTATCCCTACTATAACTGCCAGTCAAAGGATTCCTACAGTTGCCTCTGGCAGCCATAACTGCTGAATCTTCTGCCAGCTGCTCTGAGGACCTAGAAGAGCAGTTTTCTATCCAGGACCAGTTTCCAAGGGTGGGAGGGTAAAATATATCCTCCAATATGACATTTCATCTCCCAATGCTGGGTGGCTTGGGCCCTTTGAAGTTGGCTCTGAGGAACCACACGCTTGCGTCTGAGCAGCCAGCAGCTTATCACATCTGGTGATCAATCCTTCAAAGTTTCCTCCTGAAGTCTGGATTTATGGAGGTCAAATGGATTCCACCTGGGAGGGGCTTCTGCTTCAACTCAGGACATGGGGAGAAGGCTGTTCCTCTTCCAGGGGAAGGCAGTTTTCATGGCATTGAGATGTCCTCTCCCTTATTCCTCACCCACCCACCAAGTCCTTTGTAAGAGGAGTAGGGGGAGAGGAGAACGCCTGCAGCCTCCTGCTCACATTCCTAGACACCGACTCACTGAGCCCGCCGCCGCCGCTGGAACAGCAGAGCTGTGTGAAATGTCAAGAGGAGTTATGCTCATGGGCTCCCTAGCCTCGGTCTCTTTGTGGCTTGCATATTCTTCCATCAGTGCTGTGTTCATCACATGGAAATCAGAGGGTACAATTAAAAGATAATTTGCTAGTTCCAGACTTAATTTGGGGCCCCCTTCTTGCCTGATTGAATTACAGGGGAACATAATAGAGTTTTGGTGAGAAATAGTTGATTCTGTGGCTGGGAGAAAGATTGCTCCCAGCTCTCCAGCTGGGCAGCCCTTTCAGTATCCTGTATGTTGTTTCCCCACTTCCAGCCCACCTCAACTCCTCTGTGGCTCTTGTGTGGCCCCTAGGCCAGGATCGTGACCTCCTGCTCAAGAATTTAAACTCAACTTGAGACCCAAGGAAAACAGAGAGCCCTCTGCAACCTCACAGGGGTGAAAAATGTTGATCCTGGGAGCTATTTAGAGACCTAACCCAGACCCAGACAGAGACAGTGACTTGCTAAAGGCCACATAGCTAGCCCACAGTAGTTGTAACAATAGTCTTAATGATATTAATGGGTAACATTTATCAACCTTTAATGTGTTCCAGACTTTGTGCCAAGGGCTTACATACAGTGCATTGTCGCATTCAAACCCAGACAGTCTGGCTCTGGGCCCAGGCTGAGCTTCGATATAGCATGGTAGAGTGTAGTCTATAATGTCTAGTCTGGATTCAAATCCTGGCTTCACTTCTCACATTTACAGCTGAGTGACCTCAGGCAAGTGATTTAACCTCCCTGTACCTCAGTTGCTTTATCTGTAAAGAGAGAAATCACAGAACTGTGGAATAGTGTGGGTTAAAATTCATTCATACAAGTAGTGCTGCAAGCAATGCTTAATGCAGGGTGAGCACCTGTTCAGTCCTTACTTCTTCTGGCTGCCTCTGGGGCTAGAGTGTGGTGTCTTTGTGGTGGTAGATAGATATGGCTGAGCTCTGCACAAACACCAAGAGCTGTTCTTCACTATTAGAGGTAGTAAATAGAGTAGTTGAGCTCTGTAGCTCTAGAACAGAGGCCGGCAAGCTATGGCCCATTGCCTATTTTAATACGGCCTGTGATTGATTGTTTTTTTTTTTCTTTTTGAGACGGAGTTTCGCTCTTGTTGCCCAGGCTGGAATGCAATGGCACCAACTCAGCTCACCGCAACCTCCGCCTCCTGGGTTCAAGCGATTCTCCTGCCTCAGCCTCTCGAGTAGCTGGGATTACAGGCATGTGCCACCATGCCCAGCTAATTTT